AATTTCCCTCACGGGATCAATAAAGTATCTATCTATCACTCTCTTCAAACTGTATCTCACTCCTTTATACTGTATCACTCTCTTCAAACTGTATCTCACTCCTTTATACTGTATCATAAGTCTTCACACTGTACCACATACTGGATCCTGCCCACAAAGTTGTGCAATTCAGCTCTATATTACTATAATGAACTTCATAATACTGCTCTTTGTAACTTTTCACACAATGTATTTTTATAGTTCAGTAATTATTTACAAGGTTAATTATTAATGCTCCTTTTTTGTAATGACAACAGCAGAATGACATCGTGACTTGAACAATTGGTACTGAGATTGCGGCGAGCCCAGTGAATTCTGGGTTATCTGTGACGACAGCGCGTCGGTGTCTCGGTTTTGCCGGAAGTGTGCCTCCAGATTGTATTCCGGGTGGCGCAGAGTGCAGAGAGCAGAGAGACGGTAAGTTGTTGCGGGAAAGTTTAATTGATGTCGGGCATTAATCGATCGGTACTGGAGGTGCAGGGTATGAGGCTGAGTTGCCTTTAAGGCTTAAGCGGAAGGAGCGCGTTTCTCCCAGTGTGGGGCGCAGAAAGTTCAGGCAGCAGCCGGGCAAAGTCACGGAGATTGTCTCTCGTCGCCAGGACTCAGAGCAGAGGGCAAGGGGTTTGAGTGTGAATCTTAATTATAGTCGGTTCCGAGTGCAGCGCAACCAAGTCTGATTAATTTGGCGTGGGCTAAAATTCCTCCACAGCGATGTGAAAGACTGATATTGAATTATAAGAAGAGTTTTGTTGTGGTCATTGCAGTTAAAGGTGGCGCAACCAATTACTAAGTGTACAATTACTTTTTCACACAGGGAATTTGGGTGTTAGATAACTCTGTTTATTAAATAAATGAAACGATCATAATAAAAAAGCAAAATTTGTTCACTCAGTTTCCCTTTATCTAATACTAGATTTTGTCTAAAGATCTGAGAACATCCAGTGTGACAAATAAGCAATAATAGAGGAAATCAGGAAGGGGGCAAATACTTTCTCAAGGCACTATATATCCTCTGGGGGAAACTTGTTGAACAAGACAGTAGAAGAAAAATAAACGCCGCCCAACAAGGTACAGCAGTGTTTTGTGAGATGAAAGGGGATGGATGTAGTGTGGATTGTACTATTATATTATCCACGGATTCAATAAACACTGACGTGACGCCTCGTCGTTTTGAGCTGATGAACATCTGTTCCGCAGTGCTCTCATCGCGGCCCTTGTATGTTACTATTTGCCTACGGATATAGCTGTCAGCTCTTCAGCGATGATACACTCAGAAATTAACTGGAGGCTTATTTAGCCTCAGGAAATTGTGGGTTTTCTGTAAAGAAGTGTATCACAAGTTATCAAGTCATAGAGGCCAACTGGGTTCATTTAAGAACTTGGAAAAAGAAGCTTTGAATTAGTTTAGTTATGAAACTACTAAGTAATCAAGATGGCATGAATTGTTA